GGTAGGACACTAACCCTTCAGCTATTCAAAAACAGCAATGACACTCACGAGAAGCTTAGAATTAGATCGAAGTTCCACTCATTGAGTGTGAGTGAGCTTTTAGAATACGGGCGTATGTCTATGTCCACAAGGTTTTTGGGCGTTTTTGCAGTGGTTTTACAGCGCCTTGTTCACATTGATTATTTTTCTCGCAACATTTTTTGCCAAAGCACTAGTTTTTAGTCTTCGTTTCCAAATTTAAACACGGCATTTCATTTTCGCCTTCCACTTTCCTGTTCACACGATAACAAAGTGCCAAAACGACCAAACGTTCCAGAAATAGAAAAATAATCTTTGGTATCGTTTCCTGACGTCGTTTTCATACGTTTTCGTGTAAACAGAACGTGAAAATGGTACTTTCAGTTTCAGAAACCCATTACAACCAAAAACGCTCGAAAACGTTACCGTGTGCGTGCATAGTCTGAGTAACGAGTATCTTAGCGGACTGTGGTGCAGACGCGCATCCCCGCAAAGTCAGCAAAGCTATCCGAGTATCTGCATGTGATTGCATTGATATTTTGCTTCAATATTTTCAAGGCAATTTGATGAATTTGACCTTTTTTATCCACAGGCACCGAATAAACAATTTATCAGTTTTTTGTATTTCGAGCAGTCTTAAAACACTCTTAGTGGTGGATAGTGGGCTTTTGTACGACCCAACTTTCCAAGCGTTTAAAATGTATGTATCCGAAAGCGAGTAAAACGGATAAACAACCGATGATACCGATCGCTGTATATGCGGTATGTCTTTCAAAACTGTAGGGCGTAGGCTGATCAGAGTTAACAATAATTTCGTTAAAAAACTAAAGAAGACAATTCCGTTCTTACGGCATGGTTGTCTTTCTCTTGGTCTTCTTCTCTTGTTCCTGTGGAGTCTTCTTGAGGATATTGCGCCTCTGAAGACTCTTTGGCTTTGACTGCGCTTTGCAACCTCAAACGGATTAGCAGGTACGTATTTGTGTGCTTACTCGCACAGTCGCACTCGCTATCCCTTATGGCAAATTTGATCGTGCCTTTTACGGTAATCGTCGTCAAAAATCGAACTACATTCAAGACACTGAAGTTTTATTCTGTTTTATTTGGGTTTTGAACCGCGCATAATTGATAAAGAGCCTTCGCTATAAGAGCAATCACGGTTAAAAAATCGAGCGAAGAACATGCCCGAGGATTAGGAACTGTTGATGTGTTAGTCGGACAACAAGGGTTTTACATTTTAGCCTCCCGTCGATTTTCGACAAATAAAAGACTAGCCTGCGTGGCAGGCGTTCGATTTTATGGGGGGCCTGATTTGCAGCGGGCAGGATTTTGGCCGGTTCCGGGGGAGGATTCAGGCTAATAAAATACTAAATACTATTATATTATTAGAAATACATTTGTTTTAAATCCAAAATGTATCGCTTTATCTAACGCCTTCGTTCTCAACTTTTACAATATCCCCCCCCCCCCCACACCACCCCCCTACCCGCTCGCGACGGCCCTTACCGAGTCAAGCTTTAAAGAAACATGGCTAAATTTATTAGGTATACAAAAACAACCTTTATAAAGCCACAAAGTCTGCTCACTACACTTTCCTGGTGGCAAGAAAGTATTAAATTCATTACCTCCTCACAACTACTCCTATGTCATTATATAGACAAACAAACAACAGCAGTGAAGGTAGAAAATGCTCAGGTCCTAAGACAAACAGTGGTCCAAGTACTCTTCTTGAAACAACAAATGAAAATACGAAAATGAATGAGCTACAGTTAAACTATGATTTAGAAAAAAGTGAACATGCTGAGTTAAAACAAAAATATGACGAGTTATCTACCAAATACAAACAACATGTACTTCGAATTGAACATGTCATTGCAAGTGATGCAAACTTCCAATTTTACACAAGTTTTCCAAATTATGCAACTTTTAAAGTATTCTTTGATTATCTACAACCAGCATGTAATTTTCTGATGTACATTGGCTCAAATAACACTGAACATGCATCAGAAACACAAGCGAAACATGGTAGAACAAGGTCACTACCACCAGAACAAGAGCTATTCATGATCCTAGTTTGATTAAGATGTGGGCTGTTGGGACTTGACATTGCCAACAGGTTTGGGATTTCACAAGCCCAGTATTCACGCATTGAAACCACCTGGTTGGGTTCTCTTTACAATAGACTAAGGGCCCTTCCCATATGGGCATCACGTGAACATGTTCAACAAACCATGCCACAAGCTTTCAAGGATGCCTATCCAAATACCCGTGTCATTATCGACTGCACTGAAATATATATCGAAATGCAAACATCGTTTAGAAGTTAGTCAGCAACCTATTCTTCATATAAAAACCACAATACCGCCAAAGGGCTTATTGGGCTATCCCCTGCCGGATACCCTACATTTATATCAGAGCTGTATGCGGGGTGATCAAGTGATAAGCAACTCAGACTAAGAGATTGTCATATTCTAAACATGCTAGAACCAGGTGACGATGTCATGGCAGATAGAGGCTTTGATATTGAGAGTGACATGCCTGATGGAGTTAAACTTAATATCCCACCAACTTTAAATGGAGCCCCTCAGCTGTCGGTTAGTGATGAAAATGAGACTAGGAGATTTGCAGCAGTTAGAGTTCATGTTGAAAGGGCAATTCGACGCATAAAATGTTTTCGAATTTTGAAAAATGTTTTCCCATTGAGTATGGCATCAGAACTGAACAAAGTTTGGTTTATTTGTTCCTATCTAACTCTTTTCCACCCACCATTAATAAACGAAAAGCCTGATTCAGAATAACACTTAGAACACATGTAAACATAGTTGTAATTTCATAGTTTATTATACTTTGAATAGTTCAGGATAAATGAATGTAAAGTAAAATTATGTTAGCTTAGGTAACATGTTTTTGTTCCATAATTCATTTTCAAAGTAAATTCTTTTACTAAAAACTTCTTCCATGGTGTAAACTATGAAATCTGCCCATTCTACATTACATGTAGCCATTAACCCTTGCAACTGGTAGTAATAGTTGTGGTTTCTTCTCAATGTTGGTCTAGGGTTTTCGTCATTAGCAGGCAACATTAAAAATGAAGAGTCACTACATGCATCTTCAATTGTCATGTCCTTTTTAGAAAATGGGCATTTGACCTCGCCAATACCGTACGGTTTCTCCTCACTAGGGTCATGTAGGAAAAAATCTGGACTCCCACCTAGCCATGGAGCCTCTGCATTAACTACCAACCCACACTGAACACATGCTTTGATACACTGTCCATCATGGTTACATTTTTCTAAGTATTTTGTAATTGCATTTTGTTCATTGCTTTGTCTCCATAGACATGGTTTTGGTGTTTTTGTTTTGCTATTGACAGAAGTAAACTGTTTGGTAAGTATTGACTTTGGAAAAATACTTTCCCTACGTTTCAATACCAAACCAAAATTTGAGGCAGTTAAACAAAGGCGCCTTTCTTCAAACCACAGATTGTTGTCGGACAGCCCTCTTGTGTTGCACTCAATATTGATCGTTTTTCCTTTGTTTTGAGCAACTTTTCTTGACCAAATGGTACATGCTGTGGGCATGGTATATGCTTACACACATCGGGAAAATTTGGATGGGTTATTCCATTCAGTATTGAATCTATTATTTCTACATTAATCAATTGACTCTGCTGGGCTTCGGTGAATTTCTTATTTGAAGGTAATTCTGCCAGAAATTCATTGTAGTCATAAGGTCGACAATTGTTTGATTCTAATAGGTTTTCAAAATAGTTGCATGTTCCTACACAGTTTTTAATCCATCCTTAAGTTTTTTAATGTCAGTATCAGTCACATTTCTTGCAAAAGAGGGAGCTGGGTTGTTTGTATTATTAGTATTATAACATTTCCTTGTTGAAGTTGCCTTGCTAAATTTGATATTATCAAAAAGTACAGTAGTTTTAAGATCATCACTTGCTGGTACATGCCAGTGTTGCAGTAGCTGTGTACATGTTAAATCATCTGGGACTTCAGTTAGTTCAAGCTGAATAAAGTCCAGAATTTGGTAAAGTAATGCAGCTACATGCAGGCATAAACCACCCTGTCCTGCTACACAAGAGCAACTTGCAGTTGACGCTTGTATCCTGGTGAAAGTGGACATATACAGTATATTGAAGCATGTACATTGCATTTAACAAGAAAGAAACGTTCAGTTCCTTTTAAAATGTCTGGCTTAACTTGTAATTTAGGCAGTCCAATCTACTAGAAGTAGATTGGACTGCCTATCGGAAAATATGTAACCGATATTGTTACTTGTTGAATAAAGCCCGAACTGATTATTATACTTCCCTTATCAGTGATAGCTCCAACGATCCAAAGAATCTTTTCAGAATTGTGAGCTCCCTTTGTAATGCACCGCATGAAGATCCCTTACCACCTCATGACGATCTTGGTCAATTAGCAAATAGCTTCAACGAATAGTTTTTCCGCAAAATTGAATTGATTAGAGGAAATGTGGACAGTATCCATGTTGATCCTCCGTTGGTGCAATACCGTAATCCTGAAGTCAAATTAGAATCTTTTGAGATACTTTCTTCCCAGGATATTCATGATGTTTTTATGCAATTGTCCAGTGCCAGCTGCAAGCTTGATCCGATCCCATCATGGCTTGTTAAAATCTGTTGTCTGGAACTAATTCCCTCTATCACCAAAATTGTAAATTTATCCTTGCAGGAGGGTCGTGTCCCAGATCACTGGAAAATTGCTCTGATGAAACCAAATCTGAAAAAGTCTAGCTTCGACCCAGTATTTGAGAACTTTAGGCCTGTGAGCAATCTGTTATTTCTTTCTAAGATCACTGAAAAGGCAGCCGCCAACCAATTGCTGAACCATTGTGAAAAACATGCACCTCTCCCTACCTGTCAATCTGGCTTCAGGAAATATCATTCGACAGAGACGGCTCTGCTACAGGTGCAAAGCGATATTCTTCTGAGTATGGACAGGCAGGAAATGTGTTTTCTTGTACTCTTGGACTTAAGCTCAGCGTTCGATGCAATTGATCATAAAACTATCATTGACGTATTGGAGTATCAATTTGGAGTGACGGATAGGGCTCTTGAATGGATAAAATCATATCTATTGAACAGGAAACAGAGAGTTGATCTGGATAACAATTTTTCTGAAGATTGCGATGTTAAGTACGGAGTGCCTCAAGGGAGTTGTCTTGGCCCCATACTTTTTCTGCTTTATGTATCCCAACTATATGACATTATTGACAGGCACTTACCCTCTGCTCATGGATATGCTGATGACACGCAACTTTATGTATCCTTTCGCCCAGATTGTGAAGATAATTCAGAAAGCCATACTGGAAGATTGCCATACTGGAAGATTGTATTATTCCTAGCCATACTGGAAGATTGTATTTCTGATGTTCGTACTTGGCTGTTGTCTCATAAATTAATGTTCACAGATTCGAAAACGGAATTTCTTGTAATTGGTGCATCACAACAACTTTTGAAAATAAACATTGAATCCGTTAACGTTGGTGGGGTCCAAATTAAGCCGGTTGACAGTGTTCGAAATTTGGGATCTTGGTTTGACAAGCATATGTCAATGTCAGTTCATGTAGGCAAGATGTGCAGTAAAGCATTCAGAGGACTTTATAAAATACGACAAATTAGAAAATTTTTATGTACTAATACAACGAAAACTTTGATACATGCTTTCGTGACATCACACGTGGACTATTGTAATGCTCTGTTGGCTGGCATACCTCAGTATCAAGTCCAGCGAATGCAGAGAGTTCTTAATGCCGCTGCAAGACTAATCTACCACTGTCCAAAATTTTCTCACATCACCCCAGTTTTGAGATCACTTCACTGGCTACCGGTAAAATTACGGGTGGAATTCAAAATTGCTTTACTGGTTTACAAGGCTTTTAATAACATTGCCCCTATCTATGTCTCTGAAATGCTTATACCAAAACAATCAAGTGATCGCTGGACATTACGATCGGACGGTCAAGGTCTATTATACATCCCGAAAACAAACTGTAAGACTCTAGGAGATCGGGCTTTTGCACATGCTGCTCCACAATTATGGAATTCTCTGCCTCTGGATGTCAGGAACTGTGAAAACATTTCTGTGTTAAAGAAACGCTTGAAAACATTTCTTTTCAATAAGGCTTATAACCCTTTATAGGTTGAGACCATATTGGATTCTTCATTCTTATTATAGATACATACATTAGTGTATATTCTAATTGTATACAATACCATGTTTTATATAGCATATTTAATTCTTAATATATTTAGATTTTTATAATGTACAGCGCTTCGAGTATATAATATAACATATGCGCTTTATTTAAATGAATAAATTATAAATTATTATATAATTTGGTAACCATTTTTTCTTTAAAAAGCTGGTAGCCATATTTCTTATGCTTGTGTGCATTTGCTGCTTTTCCTTGTTTTCCTGAAGTATCAGTAATTAAATACTGTTTTAGTAGCTCATGTGTGAAAGGAGGAATGCTTCTGAGGTTCCTCGTCCATTCTGTGCATTGACCAGTAAATATATTATCTGTTTGCTCCATTACTTTGCAAAAAAAATGCACCAAAACATGATCGAAGTAAAAGGAATATAAACAGCAAACAGAATCACACGAACAAATAGTTTCTTTTTTAATTCTTCACCGAACAGTGAACAGCAGCCAATAGTATTTAAAAGTACTGTTTAACAGATTAAATATTTGAAAATGAAAAAGCCGATACTTTGAATGGATAGTTTTCGCCCCAAACGTCCTCAATGTTTTGGTTTGTAATGGAGCACTTGATCAAGCATGTGTTGTTTTAAGCAGCCTTGATGTGAAAACACTTTTGCCCCTGGAACTATTAACTAGGACTCGATCGCAGAACTGCCTATTGTAAGTGATGAACAAGTGTGTCTTACTTATTTTACACAAATTTTAGCGATTTACTTACCTTCAAAATGTGTGAAAAGTCTAAATTTGTGTTCGTTCATGTCCGATCGAAGCCTTGTTCGCCTTCGCCCGGGCCGATCGTCATGTTAATTAATTAAATATCTCAAAATCAATGACTCTTAGAGATCCCGTGTTAGACTACAGACTAAAACAAACCTAGCAGAATGTCAGAAAGCTTTTATTGAGAACTAAACGAAAATATTACTCGGGCAAATTTCATCTATTGACCAAGCACGCATACGCAAAGTGAACAGCCGCCATCATGCAAATTCTGCCGTGATAACTAAACTACCATGATGCTTTGCGTTAGCGGAAGTTGCGAATTACCATTACAACGCTCGTGAGCGATATTTTCAATCAGGAAAATTTCCATAAGAGATTTGTTTTTCTGCTTAAGCCAATAAAATCCGTATCAAGGGTAAAAAAAAACACTCCGGAAGTGATTTCTGCAGTCCTTTGCCAGGAAACTCTGATGCTTTACCAAGAATTTGGCGTCCGAAGTTGGCCGAACACTTTCGACCACGAGAATCGCGATAATAGGCATAGATTATTTCGAAATTTCCCGAAACTTCTCCTAGCTATAGAATGCAAGATTTATTGTACGTTGAAAAGACGCAAAGATACAAGCTGTTGAACACGCATGAAAACGCACAATGCGACAGCGAAATTGGTAATGTGTCATTTGCATAAATTTCACCACAGTTATCGTTTCAAAGTAAGAAATTTACTCTAAATTGAGCGAGAAACAATAAAATTATACGAATATTTCAGAATATATAGTACCGGTCAAGCGGAATTTTTGGTGGTACATTCGTATTTCTACTGCAAATACTCGCGGAGTTTTTTAATATTTAATCTTCCCGTCATATACGTCGGAAAGCAATATTGGCGGATCGAATTGAGTCATTAATTAACAAGATTCTTACTGCTTTTTCCAAACTTGTTGACAACTTGTCACAAGCAGTGCGAAGACAACTTGTTCACAACTTGTTGGCGCAGTTGCTACAAGATGTGAGATTGTTGCTTGTGTAATGGTCAAATTACATCGGTAGCGTGATTTTCACGTGCTTCGGCACACGGTACTCCTTGTTGGCCAATTTTAGAGTGTGGCACGTGCGTGCAAGTAAACCCTGATATTTTGAAAAATTCAAAATAAACATTTCTACTCGCCGTATTCAAACGAAAATTTCGACATAAAAGCGTTTGAATACCAGGAGTATTTCATTCTTATTGACAATCCTGAAGAGTTAAGATATTAAACATTCTCTCGATATTGAAATACAGAATGTTTGGTCTAGCGGTGAGTAAGTATTATGATTGCTTAATTTAACAACAACAAATTGCGACCTCTTTTGCCTAATCGGACAAAGGGCAATAACGGACACTCGCGTTTCGCATAACGTCGTTAATCATCGATTTTACTTAATAGGGCCTACGATAATACATATATTTACAACAATAAGGTTGAATAACTTAAAAAACTGTTTCTATAATAATGTTCATCTTCCTCTTTTTTGCTGTGATCTGTCGTCTTGTCATGTTTTATCTAGTTCTTGAGTTTCCACTTTCACATTCTTTGCGCACTTTGCATCCACCAACTGGAATTGAGCCTTCTGAAGCTTCAGTATCTAATACTGAAGCTTCAAAGGCAAACATCACCTTTTATTTATTAAATTGAATCTAAAATTTTGTTTCATGCATTAGGCTATATGCTAAAGTAATTCGTATCAATATAAATGCAATACAAGAAATAACGTTAAAATATCGTATTAAAAAAATCATATCATGTGGTACATTATATGATTTCTGGCAAGAAAGTACATTCCCCGAAGGTTGGGAACTCTGGGGGTTATATTTGAGTGCGGCGCCAACTAAAATGTATTACTTGCTTTTGCACAATGCTAGTGCCAATTGCCAAAGTTCTTGAAAGACAGTTGAATGAGAGAGGATTAATTAAAATGTTCGAACTCAAGCTTGAAATATTTGTATACCCCAGGATTAAGTAAACTAAAACAGATTAAAATATGAGATACAGTGTTGTCATTGCTCTCTAATAATTCTATTAGCCTGTGTATTTCAGTTAAGTGCTCCTTAATTGTTGTGGATATGCTCCGCGCTTCAGTTTTGAAAATTATTTTCCATTTTCGGTGCTTAATCTAGAACGGCGCATAAATCCATTAACCATTAGTTACCACTGGACAAGTGCAATATCATGCCTGATTTATATTCGTTTTTAATTCTCCATGGCCCATTGTGAATATGTTAAATGTTATCCCTTTAACTTATTAATTAAATTTTTCTCTCATACTGTATTTCTGCAACTAATTTTCATATAGGCAAAGAATGAAGAGGAATCAGGAAACAGTCAAAATAGAAATTCAGGTATGTTCAGCATCTCTGAATGTCAAAATTAACAACCCCAAAAGGTATTGTTACGTAAGAGGTATGATGGGAAGGTAAGGTATAATGGTAATACGGAAACTACGTAAGGCTATGCCATATAATGTTTCAAAATGGCTTCAAATTACAGACATAAGAATATTAAATTACTAATGAATGACTCATTGGTTATACTGTGACAAACAGATTGTTTCAAGATGCAAAAGTTTGTGGCGAATTGGTTTGTTAAAAGTGCATTGAGAACAACGAGGAAGTAAAGTTGTGATGATGGCCCGAAGAAACGTTTCAAAGTTTATATAAATAAACATCGCTCCTTGAAATTCAATGACAGCATATGCACTCTGGTCAGAAACGCTGCACGTACAGTGGCGTAACCAAAGGGGGCGAGGGGGGACGACTGCCCCCCTCCCAATCGCAAAGAAAAAACATTCTCTGAAAAATGCAAAATCCGTAGAGAAATGGGGGGGGGGAGTCGACTGAGGAAAACGACGATATACTGGAGGAACTTGATTTGTAAAATCTCGTTAAACCAGTTGTAGATATGATTCCAAGAAGAAAAGATTAAGTTTAGATATACATGTATGTATTATAGCATGAATATTCTTCTCAGACTTATTCTTTATCGTATAAAAAAGCAACGCAATCTTGAGAGTGCGGAAATGCTGTCTCGTAGTACTTAGAATTATTTAAACGCAACATTTTTTATGAAAATCACATTGGAATTTTCTTCCTCCAGCATCACAGAGGGGAAATAAGGTGACGCTGATCGGCTCCTCCTGTTTTCAAGGTGACTTTTCCAATTTATTTAAATCTGATTAGAAAATTAGAAATGTCTGGGAAAAGTTATGTCTTCGATGTACTTTATAATGTTCGGAGTTCTGCAAGACTTTACCCCCAAAACGCTTGAAATCGCATTTCAGGGACTTTAGATTTCAAAATTTTCCCGGGGGTGCATGCCCCCCCACCCCTCCAAGATGATCTCGTGCCTTCGGAGTTCGGTCGGCCCCCCTCCCCCCAAATGAAGGTTTGGCTACGCAACTGTGCACGTAGTGAAACAGTTGTCGAATCGTGGATTAGAAACGGTATGTAAATACTAAATATATTATTTTTTATTCAATAATAATACGAAGTATATGTTCCATAAATTATGTATTCATTG